TTGCATATTTTGGCGCGAGAAGAGGAAAAAAAGAGGAATGGAAATGCCAGTGTTAAAGACGGAAGTTAAATTAACAAAAATAAATAAATAATTTAAAGAGAAAATAATAAAGTTAGAAATAATATTAAATTTTATTATTAACAATTCCTCTTATTTGGAAAGCGTAGTGGACTACCTCTCAGTAAATTATTAATTCAATAAACCCGAAGAGACGGTATTTAAGAGAAAGTGATAAAAAGAAACATGAGACAAGTAATTCAAAGTGATTAAATAAATATATTTGCTTTACACATGAAAAGAATGATTTATTACAAAACTCAATAATCAATTTAATTAAGCTACTTGACTTACGTCAAGTCTCACAAATAGCAACAAGGAAGATTCTATCTTCAAAAATACAAATTTCTGTTTGTTATGTATGATGTTAGTATGTTTGTGTATGTTTAATTTTATTTAAGAAGAAACTGTTTTATTAAAGTCAATTATTTAAATTGACTCACCAGAATTATAATCGTAACAGAAAAGTATCGTATTACTCGTTGTTTGTCACTTGATACTTGGGTATGCGGAACTCTTCTCTTATTTATTTTATTTATAATGAATTTCTCAATTTATCTATTTAACTTTTTATATTTTTAAAGCAATTGCACTTTTTTAATATTAATAACAAAATCAACTCTGACTCGGGGAATATTCAATACTTTCAACCACTTTTTGTGGGACTTCAATAATATATAATCATCCGCCTTTTGCGGGAATCAACACAACATCCGCTCTGCGGGAAATTAACTTTAACCCTCTGGTTGTCGAAAGACCGACTATTTAAACTCCTTACAACAATAAGATTGGTGACAATGTTCACTCCCGATTCATGAAGAGGGAGAATTGATTTAGCAACCGACTTCTCCTTATTTTCATGCAATTTCAACAACGTTGCATTTTTAATTGGGGTAGTGATACATTCAATCACCTACTCTACTTATAATTTTCATTAATATTACTTAATCTTCCAAATGGATTAAGTAACTGTCATATATTGAAGACCCAGATTTAAATGATATAATAATAATTTAGATCATGTTATCATTTTCAATTTAACAGTTCATTATAAATAAAGTATATGAAAAGATCTTTGGCATAATTATTAAATGATTTCGAAATAATAATTAAAATATTCACAATGAGAATAATAATGTGTGTTGTGGTTTATAATATAATAAATATTCGGATGAAAATTATTAATTTATAATTATATAAAAAAATTATAAAGTGACGGAAATTCTGTCCCTAATAGCCAGCAGCATTTACTGCTAAGGCCATTGTTACCATAGTACCCCGCTCTGCAGAGGCAATTTGGTCCATTAGCCGTTGTCCGCGCATGGAAATTACTTTTCCAACTTTGGTTGGGACAGTTGAAAAACCGGTCTCATCCATGTTCCAGATGCTCTGAACCTCGAATTTATTTTCGGTTAAAACAGAAAAATTTGGCTACGTTTCCAGGTGAAAAACTTTTCACTCGATGAAGACTAGTTTGTTGTGGCGTGCGCAAGGTTAATGATGACTGATGTCGCCGCATGAAGCCGAAGTACCAATCGCGACCAGCCATTTTTTCGTCATCCCAAGATGGTGGATACTCAATTTTTCTTGTAACAGCGAATTGGTATGCTAACTTGCGCAATTCATTGGCACTTAGACCGTAATAGTGTTCGCAGCATTTTTGTATGTAGACAACTAACGCTTTTTCTTCTTTCGGCAAAAACACCTAATCGAGAAAGCATTTAAGTATTTCAAAATTCATTTTTGACGCATCGCAAAAAATGGACCTAAGAAGCAAACAAATTATACACGGAAAAAAAATGAATGGATATCATAACCATAAAAATATTGTTATTCATAATATTGTTGGGGTATCCATTCATATGGCTGGCGCAACTTCAAGTATGGAAGAATTTACAAGAAAAAATGGTTGTGGGAACCATATAATATTTGTAAATTTGATATGGATGTACCAACCATATGTTTGGTTGTGTTTTCAATACCGCTATGGATTTTACTAGTTTGGATCTCCTATCCATTATAAATTATTACGCTCGTTGATCTAAATAGATGTACGCGGTTGCGCGGTAATCAGACTCGGTCAGTTGATGGTCACATATTGCGTCATTCTATTTCGCGTCCTAAAAGCGTGTTTGAAAGAAAAAAAGCAATTTTGGCATAAATTAAATTATTGAAAATTGGCTCTAAGTGGTTCGGGTTGGATATAAACAACATGGAAGCTGAGTGCTTTCAATTTTTTAAAAAAGATGGATTCGAGGAATACATACCGCATTTTGAAGGTAAGCAATAATATCAGTAAATTATAGGTTATGTTTCCACGTGCTCAAATCTTTGTTGGATTTTTAATTGCTTTTTTTAAGTTAAATATAATAATGTTTTCACATGTTTTTCACATGATAATTTTACCTTTTTTTAATTTTCAAAAATAGCGATTATTATGTATATTAATTCCAATTTTTTTTCTACTTCTCTAGAAGAGCTTTTTTATGATGTGTGGCGAGTGTTCTAGAATTATGTCTACGATGTCTACGAAACTGACGAATTTGATTGTGTTCTTGTAAATGATTTGCATTCTCCTTTCCCAGTCATAATTTGCAAATGGGGAAATGGTTCCATGTTTGCAACTTTACGCCATAAATTATAATTATAATATTATTAAAAATATATCGCGATATTATTTTAAGTTGTTCGCGCGAATTATTATATATAATATTATATTTTATTGTAATAAACATTCCATTGAACAAATTATACTTATATATATTTATATATAATTAATAATTATATAATAATTATTTATATATAAATAATATTATAATATTATATATTTCAATATATTATTTAATTGGTTTATCACAAATTAAACATTTACGTTTTATTGGAAAAAATAAATATGTTAATATGATACGCAATGTTTTAAATTAATTAAAAATAACCTTATTAATAATATATTTAAGGAAATAAAATAAATATTAAGTATAACAATATAAAATAGATACGTTAACTATATTAATATAGTACACAGGTCAATGGTTGCAGCAACAATTAAAAATGGTTGTGACATCCATAGTGAGATTTGTGCTACTTCCATATTATATGGTTCACACAGCTATATACCTTTGTTATTGCATCAATTTACAGCTAACTATTTTATATGGATGTAGCATCCATAGATATGGATGGGACGTATTTTTCAATATAATATGGTTGGGGCAACCAGACGTATGGATGTGACATCCATTGCTTTTTTCAGTGTAGGTTATATTTACGAAAGTTTTACATTGATTAAAAATCCTTTTTTATTATGTGAAATCAGTCAGTTTTTCCTGAATATTTTGAGTGTAATGAAAATTTAAAAACCAATGATTTGTATTCAGACAATGATAATAATGATCTTTGTGTATTTTCACTTAAAAATTTTAAAACAACCCACAATTTTTTTCTACTTAGATCCCTTTCTTAATTTCATTCGTTAATTTATTCAATTTTTTATTTCTTAGTATTTTTTTGTTAATGACTTACTTGCATAACAGTAGCACAGGCAGCAAAGGTGCCATTTTCCTTTAGCGCGACTTTCAGTGCATCATCGCTCATATCGTCGATGTCGTCAAACAACGATTTTAAAATTTAATATACCGGCCAAGTTATGCACTTGACGCGCTGTAGGTTAGTGACGCCAAACAAAAAGAATCGAGATCACGTGTAATATCTTGGACAGCTTTTATTACGTGTGAAATGTTGATATTTCCGCGGTTAGATTTTCGTTTGTATCGAGAAACTGGTCTGAAAAGCAAAAAAAGATTATCAAAAATTTGTGTTTTCATTCTTTACAATGGAAATAAAGTTTTTGACACCTATTTAGGTCGAAAAATGAATTTCCATTGCAAGAGAGTTTCATAATTGCAAAATTTTGGGTGGCTCAAACCTAACCACTCGCCATGGCTCAACCCTGACTCACGCGCCGTTTAGCGTCATATAACACACAAAATAAACGCGTGATTTAAATACCAAATTACACTTCACATTTTCATGTAACATCTTAATGAACAATTTTATTCAACTTACTTTGTTTTTGACATATTTTTTATCCACTTAACTGTCTTCTTCTGGAAGAACAAAAAAGTTTTTTTTACCGTATAGCACTGACTCGTATAGGGTCAGCCGGGGTAAATCCGAACGGGGGGTAAATCCGAACGCTAATTATTTCAGCTTAATTAAAATTTTTAAAAATAAGTTCGATATGAGAATTTTTACCTCAGATCCTCTTCAAGAGATTCTAAGTATTATCCCATTTTTCGTTTGTTAATTAGCAACAGCATAAACAAAGATAACGAGTGTTGCAAAAAAGATTGAAAATCAAAGATGACACTCTTTCAGTATTTTGTCTCGTATTTGAAGAAAAAGAAGCTAAAAATTTATTTTATTATTTATAATTGTTTGTTATGAATACTAGAACAGAAACTATTTTTGATTTTTGCCTTCTGTAAAATTTTATTAATAATATCTGACCGTTCGTATTTACCCAGGAAAATTGGAAAACCGGGGTAAATCCGAACGGTATTTTCAATAATTTTTTTTTACATCAGAGCCACACAAAATTGTTTTTATTTCATTACACTATTATTTTAACATTATAAAAGTACATAGAAAAAAGTTTTTCTTTCTATACGTATCCTCGTTAGTAATTAAGGGGGGCGCCAACTTTATCGGGTCAAAAAAATCGATTTTTTAAAAGTTGTCTTAACTGAAAGTACAACTATCAGAGAATATGCTCTTAAAATATTATGTCAAAATACAAAGTATTTTTCGAGTTACAACTTGTAGAACACAATAAAGCGCGTGGCCTGGCGCGCGACTCCACTCGCAGTCTCTAATACTTTTCATAATTTGTTGCGCTTATCTACTATTACACCTACTATTAAAATTACCATTTATCAGTAAAATGTCGTCTTATCCAAGAGCTACCCATAAAAAAATAGTCGTTCATCGAGGTCGCGAAAAAGACGTAAGTTTTTAATAAACAGCACTTACATGTTTTTCAATCTTTAAACTCGTTTTTCTCAAAACACTGTTTTTGTAGTTTGCGTACACGATAGACAAAAATCTATTCAACCGATTAAGGTCTACCTGGGCTTGTTTTGAAGATAAAAATGGTCTCTTCTGTATGAATTAAATTTGTTTTTGATAGAGTTAAATTTAGTGCTTTTTTTTAAAGAAAAAATGAGATTTTTTTTGGCGAAAATTAAATTTTTTTTTTAAAAAGTCATGTAAAAATGTCAGTTTTTACTTTCTATTGAAATCTGTTAATTCATACAGATGGCAATAATGTATATTTAAAGAAAAAAATTGTTTTTTTTGTTTTAGATAAGAATTGTGGACCGTAGGTTGTACGCAATGGGAAAATTTCAGCAGCGAGGCGTTATATATATGGCGTTTATTTTATTATTAAATTCTATTTTCATTTAATCAAAAAATTATATTTAAAAGATTTAAATATATAAGAAAACATACACTAAATCTCGCATCGACTTATTTAAATGTGTTTGAGAAAAAAATTCCTGAAATGTACGCAGTTTTTTACCTTCTAAAGTAGGCACCCCCCTTAATAAGCAGAAACTTAATCTCTGTTCTCCCGAAGGAGTGTTTCAATTTTTTTGCCAAATGGTTTGTTGAAAAAAGTTTTTCAGGATCTTAATAAAATTTGGTATTCTACGGTTTTTGGGGTCGCTAATTACCAATTTGAAGTCAGTTTTTCAAAATTCAAAATGGCGAACGAGAATTAAAAAATTCATTGGATTCGCTCGAAAATTGTTACTCGGGGGGCTTCAGGGTCGCTGATTACGAATTTGATCATTTTTAAAAATAAGTTTTAGGAAAGTCCGCCATTTTGAATTTAAAAAATTTGACTTATATTTTTGTATTTACATTCAATCACTCCAAAATACTTTCTGTACCAAGTTTTGCAAAAATCCGTTATGATTTGATAAAGTTATTGAAGGTTTTAATTGTGTAATGCATTTTAATTTTTAACCTGTTTGATTTTTGTATTTATATATGATGCATTATTACATAATAGGTTTATTATCGTATTTTTTTTGAGTTTTTATATAAGTTTAACAATTGCAATACTTTAAATTTATTTTCCCTAAGATTTTTCTGAAATACAGTGGCGTTCGTATTTACCCCGGTATTTTAGGAAAGTTGCAAAGTATCGAGGTAAATACGAACGCTAAGTTTCCTGCGATTGTAATTTATCAAAAATTTTTGCTACCCCACAAAATTGTTCTATGGAAGTAAAGTAACAACTTCATGCACCAGAATACCGGAAGTATTTTTTTTAAAGAAAAAACTTATGTTATTGTTGAAACTTACTAAAAGCGTTTGGATTTACCCCGGTTGACCCTAATACGTCTTTATTGTTCACACACTTCACTGTAACATATGTGAAAAGTTTGCAGACTTTGCTAACAAGTACTTACATAAAATGACAGGTGGCGCTAGTGTGATAATACCAAATAAACTCGATGGCTCAACCCTGATCACTGCCCAACCCTGACTACTCTCCCCTATAAATTTCTAGAAAGTTCTATTAATTTCTAGAAAATTCTATAAATTTTTAGAAAGTTCTATAAATTTTGTATTAAATTCTTTAATTTTTTAAAAGTTTTTGGAAAATTTTTAAGAAATTCTAGAAAATTCTGTAAAATTTCTAGAAACTTCTATAAATTTCTAGAAAGATCTATAAATTTTGTATAATTTCTTTAATTTCCTAAAAAAATTTTAAAATTTTTAGGAAATTCTAGAAAATTCTATAAATTTTTAGAAAGTTCTATAAATTTTTAAAAAGTCCTATAAATTTCTACAAAATTCTATGTATTTCTAGAAAGTTCTATAAAATTTCTATAAAGTTCTATAAATTTCTAGAAAATTCTATAAATTTCTGGAAAATTGTATAAATGTCCATCTATTTGTGTAAAGTTTTTATAAACTTTCTTGAAAGTTCTATGAAGTTTCTTAAAGTTTGAATGAAGTTTCTAGAAGTTTTACTAAAGTTTCTAGAAAGCTCCATGAAGATTAAAAAAAAATTTCATAAATATTTTAGAAAATTCTTTAAAATTTGCTGTCTTGCGAAGTAAATAAGTATAAATTTAAGAAATATCAGTGTGTGGGGGCGAAGTTGTGGGCGTAGGTTAATCAGTGGGTGGGGGTTTAAATCTGACCATTATTACAAATATAAAATAAATTATAATCTGATTTTACTACAATATCGTTTATGTTTATTTTGTGTAGGTATATATATATATATATATATATATATATATATATATACTAGAGGGGCTACGCCCCCCTGCGCGCTTCGCGCGCCAACCCCCCTATTTAATCATTTTTTTTTAATTTTCCATTGATCTTATTTTTCCAAATGAACCACCTATTTCAAAGAATTATTATTACAAATTCATTGAAATCTGAATAAATATTATTAAAATTAAAATTATTAAATTTTAATTAATAAATTAATTAAATTAATAATAAATAAATAATTAAATCAATTAAAATCGACATTAAGAAATTATTTTTAAAAATAATTTCAATGAAATTGCCTAACAACCAATAAATTATTAAAAAGTCTTGAAACGAACATAACCTTTAAATTCAAGTCATTTTTGGCGGAAACTCCACCTTCACTTGCGGCTATATTGAAAGTCTTGAAATTTACATAACCTTAAAATTTATGTCATTTTTGGCAGGAAATACAGAGCGAGATGAGGGAAGGGGGAAGGACTTACTGCTTTATTAGAGTCTTAAAACAAACATAACCTCAAAATTTAGGTCAATTTTTGGCGGAGGAGGGGAAATGAAAGGAGGGAGGGGGGACTTGCGGCTATATTCAGAGCCTTGAAACGAACATAACCTCAAAATTTAGGTCATTTCTGGCGGGGGAGGGGAGGGGACTTGCGGCTATATTCAGAGTCTTGAAACGAACATAACCTCAAAATTTAGGTCATTTTTGACGGAGGAGGGGAAATGAGAGGAGGGAGGGTGACTTGCGGCTATATTCAGAGTCTTGAAACGAACATAACCTCAAAATTTAGGTCATTTCTGGCGCGGGAGGGGAGGGGACTTGCGGCTATATTCAGAGCCTTGAAACGAACATAACCTCAAAATTTAGGAGGATGCTCCATCACGTCAGGTTTTTAAGATAAAAGGGGTTGAAACCCCTAAAAACAGCGTTTTTGCACTTTTTGAAAAATCGTGGGGCAAAATCCTGATGTGTTAATAACTTCGCTATATTCAGAAACTAAAGTTTGAACTGTGCTTTTTGAAATAAGCCTTCAATCGATACATTTGCATCAACCCTTAAAACAGAGTGTGAGTTTTTGTCCAGGTGTGCGGCAACAGCAAAATACTAAGTATTTGAATTCTAGTGAATAAAAAAAATCATAAACGAAATGAAAAAAAGAATGTAATATCTCCAGAGAAAGTTTTTTAATGTTATATTTATCATTCTCGTACACTTCAACAATCATGATTGTTAGTATTTTGAAGTTGTCGCACCCCTGGACAAAAATTCACCTCCCCCCCTTGTAAGGTTTGAAGTAAATGAGTCTGTTTTGAGCTTATTTGAAAGAGCACGGTTTAAGTAATATTTCTGGCCACTTAAAGCCAGATGCACAATTTTCCTGCCATTTAAGGTCAGATTTAGAACAAAATGTATTGGTAGTTCCTATTCACCCAGATACGAATTGTCGGTCGGGACAACCTTGTGAATGGTCGTACCAACCTTGGCAGCTGATGATGGTCGGGCTAACTAGCGGATTGATAACATGCGCCGATCAGTGGCTGATATAGACGGACCGACTTTCGGGACCAAAATCGGGCCATCCGTGGACGCCAAAGTTTTGCCGACCGTGGGCACGAAAGTTGGCTCAACATTGGTAACCATTGTCGGGCTGACTATGGGTGCCAATATTGGACCGACCTTTATCAATAAAAGATAAAAATTATTAATTTTACAATTAAATTGTACATGTCAGGTTTTTCATCATTTGGTTCCTCAATTCATAATTTATTTATTGCATACAATTAAAATATCGGCCCCCCGCTGGGATCGAACTCGCAACCTAACACAACTAAGTCTAATACGCTAACCATTACGCTACGCTATCGTGAGAGTCTAAAGACAAAAATGATTTTATAAGTTGCAACTTAGAAAAATTAAGTAAAAAATATAATATAATTAACTAAAATAATTAACACAAAAAGTTAATATATATTATTATTTTTATTGTTATTATTAATTGTAATACTAATAAACTAATAAACATTAGCCTTATTCATTACAGATCAGTCTTGCGAAATATCACGGAGAGAAATTTATGCTACTGGGTAACATAATGATGTTAAGGGCAACCATATTTAGTGCTAAATATATAGACAGCGATATAGATTGTAGTATTTACTATCAGATGATTATAGAAATTTGATTGTACAATTTACAATCTTTGATGTTAAAAATTTTATACGATCTCTTTACGTTCTCGAGTGGCAAATATACACAAACCTAACCTCGCTTTTTTTGTAAACTTAAATAATTTCTTTTATTTTAATAAGACATTTCGATAAGAATTTAAACTTTTTACATAAAAAAGAGTATGTCTATTTTTTCACTCCGTCTATAAAAAGGACTTGCTTAAACATAAATATATTTATCAAACGGTATATTTTTTTCACAGAGTCAATTGAATTTGTATTATTTTACTAATTTTTAAGTTTAAAAAAAGTAAGAAAAAATATGAAAAAGTTTTTTTTCCAAAAAAAAATTTCAATAAACACATGTACATTTATACAAACAAAAAAAACTTACTTGATTTTTGTAATCTTGAAATTTTTTAAAAAATTTTAAGCGAGGTTCTGGTTTTGGTATAATGAGTGATATTGTATCATTGTCCAGTAAGTCAAACGATTCTTCATCAATTTCACCGTCTAAACAACGCAAAATTGTTTTGAGGTTATAAACACGTTCACACTTCAGTCTTCGCTAATTCAATCAAAATAATAAACCTACCTCCAAAAGATGGAATCAAAGATTCCATATTCCACGACATTAATAAATTTTTAACAAACTCGTCCACTTTTTTATTCACAACTTTTTTCACTATATATAAACACGTGCGTGAAAACACAAGGACCGCAATTGAATAGGCGAAGTATACACCACAATCAGCGCATGCGCTCACATTTAATTTTTACAATATTTGATAGTAGTGACTACAATCCAAAAGCTAACATATTTTACGTCTTTGGGTAACATCTTGGATAGTAAAATGTTGATAGTAGATTCTTGTCAGTAACACAATGATAGTACCTTGTACAATCTTTCTGTTTACTATCAAATTCTTACTATCCATTTCTCTCAGTGTAAGGAAGACCTGGCATGACTCTGGCGACGTTTGCGACTGCGCGGAGCGAGCGTGCCATTCGCAGACAGTTCTGTAATTTTTGCAGCTCCAAACATT